ATATATTTTAATTTGTGAATTATTAAATCTAACCCCATTAGAAAGTATATTAAATACTCTTTAACCTTAAATTAATAAATTAACCAACCAATAATTTCGGTTTAAATAAGTCACACTATAGTTTAGATCAAGAAAAGATTGCTAGGAGAATCATTTGAATCAAACGACTGTTTAAAATATATTTAGAAAAGAAGAAACTATCAATGACCAAAAATGAATACAAGTAATATTAGACTGTAACTTATACCTAAAAATACTTTAAAATGCAAGAAGAACAAAATAAAGTGTAATTTATTGTTTTAATACAAGTAAAAAATAATGTTTCAGATATAGTCCTAAATCTTCTAAATAAAAACACTATCTTTTTCAAAACAATACTTAAATATTATAAATTTTGAGTAAGAAAAACACAATTTTGAGATCCTTATAAGAACCATATGAAAAAAGCCTATAACAATAACATTCATAAACGAAGCCCGCATATTTTAATGAGTTCCACACTCTGATTGAGGACAGGACACAATCTTAAACTCAAAGTAATATAACATTTTACTAGTGCCTATTATCAAAATAGACATATTTTGCTTAAAGTCTCAGCAAAAATATCTAATTATCTTTTTATATAAATTATTATGATAAGAAAAATTAAAATCTCTCTTTAGCAACATACCTTTTGTTATAACTGCTCTGATTAATAATAAAAAAATACTCAATTTAGATAAAGCAACTAAATTAAGTCTCTTGAAAAAGGAAACAATATTTAATCATATTTCCTATTTTTCCAAATTGATATTCTCAAGTCATCCTCCATTAATTTAAATTTGTATTTCATTTATTTTATATCCCCCCTAATAGTAAGATTTAAATAAAATATAAAAAATCAGTAAATATTTGAATACTTTATTGAAAAATCCCAAATATTAATCTAATACAAACAAAAGGCTTTTTGAATGTTATAAACACCAAAAATATATTTTTTTAATCAAATCTTTCATATTTAACCAGGTTTGGAATTCCTAAATTTTATTGATATTTTATAAATAAATTTTGGATACTTCTCAAAAAATAAAATGGGTAACAACAATTAAAAGGAAAAAGATAATGATAGAGCTTTTGAGCATTACTCAATAAGTAAAGTAAATTATTTAATATAATTTTTTTAGAAGCTTTAAATTGCTTACAAAACCGAAAAAGCAATTTTAGAAATTAACAAAGCTTTGAATCTTAATCCTATATTTGCAGAAGCCTACACATTAAGAAGTTCATTGTTTTAATTATCAATTTAGGTGAATTATATGAATAAATGAAATTGTATGATAAGGCTTTGAAAGATGTAAATTGTAGCTTGTCTATTAACAACAATAATGCACAAAGTTATTATTAAAGAGGTATAAATTAAATCTTAATTTAAGCAACAATTTATTGGAGATAATAAAAATTGAATCTAGCTTTAAAAGACTGTTGGAAGTGTATTTAGATTAATGCAAACTTTGCTATGGGGTATTGTAGATTAGGTAACAAAATAAAAATAAATTTTTAGGCACTATTATGGGGGAATTGAAAGAAATAGAAAAGGAACTCGAATATCACACTGAGGCTATATAAAAAGATTGTAATTGTTATTATGCATTTATGTGTCGAGGTAACATAAAATTTAATTTTTAAGGGGGCGTTTATATGGATGAAAAAAAATTTGACTAGGCATTAAGAGATTTAAATTAAGCAATTTAAATCAATCCACAATATAGTTTAGCCTTTTATAATAGATGTTTTCAACTAATTATATAAAAGGCTTGTTCTATTTAAATACTGGTGAGCAAGACAAAGCATTAAATGACTGTAATAAAGCAATCAAACTGGATCCAAAATTTGCTAATTCCTATTCTGATAGAGGTGAATGCTATTCAATACATAAGGTCTTATATATTAAAAACTTGGTGACAAAGCCAAGGCTTTATATGACTTTAATAAAGCAATCCAACTTGATCCTAATAATGCTAGAGCCTATCTTAAGAGAGGTGAATAAATTTACACTTAATATAAAAGGAAATTTTTATTAAAAAATTGGTGAGTATGACAATGCTTTAAATGACTATAATAAAGCAATCCAACTTGAACCTAATGATGCGTAAAACTATCATAATAGAGGTGAATACTATTACACTCAATATATAAGGCCTTTTATATTATAATATTGGTGAGAAAGACAATGCTTTAAATGACTATAATATAGCAATCCAACTTGAACCTAATGATGCGTTGATCTATCATAATAGAGGTGAATACTATTACACTCAATATATAAGGCCTTTTCTATTAAAATATTGGTGAGAAAGACAAAGCATTAAATGACTATAATAAAGTAATCCAACTTGATCCAAATAATGCGTTAACCTATCATAATAGAGGTGAATACTATTACACTCATTATAAAAGGCCTTTTATATTAAAATAATGGTGAAAAAGACAAAGCATTAAATGACTATAATAAAGCAATCCAACTTAAACCAAATAATGCGTTAACCTATCATAATAGAGGTGATTACTATTACAGTCAATATATAAGGCCTTTTCTATTAAAATAATGGTGAGAAGGACAAAGCATTAAATGACTATAATAAAGCAATCCAACTTGATCCAAATAATGCGTTAACCTATCATAATAGAGGTGAATACTATTACACAATAATATTAGCCATATTATATGAAAATATTGGTGAGATAGACAAAGCATTAATTGACTAAAATAAAAATATCCAACTTGATCCAAATAATGCGATAGCCCATTACAATAGAGGTTAATACTATTATTACTAACATTTTAGCCTTACTATATTAACATAAAGGTTGGCAAGACA